GGCAAACTGTTTGCCTGAAGAATAAAAGGTCCATCTTTCGAAAGCGCTTGGGTTATAGGGTTTATATTTATTTCAGTAAATAACAGTTAGTAGACGTAACTGTTTACCTGTCAATGGAGATTGCCATGAGTGTAAATACACTAGCAGCTACCGACAAGATAGAGATGAAGTTGGACACTTTGCAGTAAGCACTACCGAAAGGCCAGTCACCGTTCAGCATGGATGAAAAATTGAAGATAACGTTCAAGGTGGAAACCATGGTGTCTGCTAAGCTAAGGTTCACCAAGAAGTAATTGGTGACGGTTCTCATCCTTTTATGAGCCAGTACAATCCAGATGACGATCACGTTGCCACCAGTAGCAACTAGAACCATTCCTCCAAACGCAAGGCTCCATAAAGTCTGTTGCCACCATGGAAGAATGTAAACGTTTTCTGTGGGAATGTCTTTTATAAAGGTATCATTGGTAGCTATAAAAGTCTCGTTTCCGTCATATGTGCAGTTATCTATCATCTTCTGATTCATTCTAGTTTATTGGAAATGAAATGATGCTACAAGTATATTAAGGAATAAAAGGAGAAAATCGCCTCGTTTTCGCAATTTGAAAAAAATGTTACAGGTTTTTAGAGTCTGTTCTTCATTATAACGTTCCGATTTCTGCGACAATGATATATTTTAATATCTAGATCTAAAAACGCAAATCTAAACTCTAAAAGTCAATGTTTTTATATATATATATATGTTAAAATATGTGAAAATTAGCTAACATTTAGTTATTATTATTTTTAGTCACATACAACTCGGGAAAGATACAACAATACCATTTCTGTTTGAGTCCACAAATAAGTGAGGAAGTCGGGTTTCCTGCTCGTGAACTCTCCTACCTGTGACTAGCGATGTTCAAAGAACACGACCACTACTCAGCCTGTTACGAAGATCCAATGAGAGTAGTTCGAGTGCAAAATGATGTGACAGTGACGGCACAGCGCGCGCGCGCGCGCGGAGCAAGCTCGACGTGTTTTGTTTCTCTTGGTCTGAAGCAAATAACTACGTTCTAAATCACTACTCCTGTTATTAAAATTGGAGAAAAACATCAGAAGTAATATCATGATTCAGAATTTCGTCTCAGGACTCTGAAAATAACTAAAGAATCAGTATTCTGTAAATAATTACTGGATCAGAATTTTGTAAAAAATATATTAGGTTTCTATATATATATATATATATGTATATATACAAAAACTACTATAATATGACTGTGTAAGTAGCTGCTGTGCCAGAACACTGGAGATAATTACTGTATAAAGACTGTATGAATAACCACTTTATCAGGGTATTGTAAATATATACTTTATTAGGTCTTTGTAACTGATCAATTAATCAGAACATTGTAAATAGCCAATTTATAAGACACTACAAATGACTTCTGAATTAGGACTTTGTACATACGTACTGTATCAAATCTTTGTAACTATTCAATTTATCAGGAGTTGTAAATAACCACTTTAGAAGTACTCTGTAAATAACTATTGCATCACAATATTGCAAATTATTAGTGCATCAGGACTCTAAGTTATTATTGTATGGAATATCTAGACAAGAGGTTCTCAACATCTTGACATGTTTTTATTGTTTATTCTTGACACAACAATCAGTGGTTTTTCATGATAACAAATAGTTCGATAGAAAGCTATCAAAATACTCTTGGAACATGTACTTTAGATTAAATGTTAAATTTGTTACGTTTAAAAACTTTAAATGCAACAAGATGAATATCAGGTACACGAAGTCTATTGAGATTTATATAACGAATAAGTTAACACTAGAAACCCTTACTTTAGAAGTCATTTATCTTGATTTTATTTTAATCACTTGTTTTAGATATCAGAACGATTTTTCTTAAGTCTTTTCATTTCTGACAGGTTAAATCGTAATATAAAATAAAATATTTTATAAAACGTACGTTCATGTTTCCAGTTTTACTTTTAAGGAAGTTTTGGACTTAAAACGAAAACATGTTATGAAAATTTTCAGTATTTATCTGTAATTACAGTTCTGCACTTTTTTGGTTATGTAACACATTCAAAAAGTATATAAAACGTTCTTAAAATAATAGATTTGGATATTATGTCATTCTTTACAAGTTTATTGATATATTTCAATCACTATCGAAGTTTCAGCAATCCGAATGACCACCTAAAACAAATTGAAAGGATTACCTTAGTTTTTACAAAGTTTCAAGTGTTTGTATTCATTCTATCACTTATATGACAAAAAGTAAACACGATTACCCGTTTTACAATTGACATTATTTGTTTGTTTCGGATATTCGGGCAAAGTTGTCTCTAATTTCCAACTCAATGAAAATAGGGAAGGTAGTTAGTCAACAGCATCCACCGCCTTGGGCTACACTAATCGAATAGTGGGATTTTACCATTACTCTTATAACGCACCAACAGACACAAAGTGTGGAGTACAATTTAGTGAACACGAACCATGGATCCGCAGTTCCATAGCCAAGCAAAGCAACTACTAGGCCACGCTCGGCCCTAGATTTACATAGTTAATATCTTCATTTATTTCAAAATCATAAATAATTATTTGTACCGATTAGTATGTATACATAAAATATTATGCCCATAAAATAGTAATGGACAAAAGAGATAGAGAAACCACCTTTATCCGCAGTTTTTAACAGCTTCTAAAGACATACGCATAAGTACATTGTACAATGATTAAAGCCAAAAGACATAAAAAGTTTATTAAGCTAGTATCTTGCTGTCGTTGGTAAAAACAAAAGATCGTATGTGATAGAAAAACACTCTAATAATCATTGTTGCCGAGATTTCTTTTTCCGGTAAAGGGGGGGGGGGCGATCCAGGATTACTGACACGTAAAGAGTCTATTAGTCCTTTATATTATGTGCTTTTCCTGAGGGGGCTGGGCGCCAACTTACTCGGTGCTTATGCTAATAGCAACTAGCTGCTTCTTAATACTAGCGTTTAAACATATATAAAACTTATTTATTTAAATGTTATCATGGGGTGAAATATTGGTAGGAGACAAAAGGTAAGATTCACAACAAACTTTCTGCAGTAAATATTTTTGATATTACCTTAAAATACGAGCACACAAAAGAATTTGCTTAATCTTTCAAAGGATCGTATTGCTGGATCAGGCAGAAATGTATGAACTTCTGAAGGCGTTTTCCAAGAAATCCGTTTGTTTTCTACTTTTTTGGTAGCTTATTAAAAGTAGTATGGAAATTTCATCGTACCCAACCAACTTCATTGCTTCTTTAAAACTTATATTTTTTTTACTTATCCAAGTTTAGTTCAGAAGTGTATATTGATAAGATCGATACTCTAAACCTACTGTAACCAGGAACATAAGCTGTGATATTTTTCCTCATATTTCGAAGTTTTATCAAAAGCTTGCTCAGCTATTATAAAAACGGTGTCATAAAATAAGGTTTGGATATTAAATTTAGATATATATCAATGGTAAAAATTACAAATAAACACAGCAATCAATTTTCGAAAAGCAAGTTACAAGTTATGGGATGGAGAAATATATAGATGAAAATAATTACCAAACAGACAGCTGAAGCTTTAACCACGCCTAATAAACACCACATAAAAAACAAAACAAAATATTGCAGAATTCTGAAAAAAGGAGCATATGCATATATCTGTACAAACGATAAACCTATTTAACCAAAACGTAAGTAAATGCATCTGTAGACATCAAAATTCACAATTTAAACATAAAAAATAGCGAAAAAAGTGTTACAGAATTCCTTTTAAACATACATTAAATTTAAATCGTACATCAAATAAACAATAGATATTGATTGACACAGAAGACTTGAAAGGCATGTATATTCCAGGTTTTCTTTGAAATGTACATTAAATTTAAATCATACATGATATAAACACTAGATATTGACACAGAGGACTTGAAAGGCATGTATATTCCAGATTTTCTTTGAAATGTACATTAAATTTAAATCATACATGATATAAACACTAGATATTGACACAGAAGGCTTGAAAGGCATGTATATTTAATTAACTATCTTCATAAAATATTAGTATAGCCAAACATAAGGTAATAACTAAATAGATGGAGAGGCTATAGTAATGACGGACAAAGTTTCTTTTGTTTTCATATTTCTATAAAATGAATTTGACTTTGTATATGATGGCTGTTGAGTCAACCTATAAATCCTGGAGAAATCATTAGCAAGTGTTAATAAAATTAGGATAAACAGTTTGATTTATTTATCTTCATCTATTCACCTAGAAAATAATATTAACTCTACGACATAGATTTCGTTTAAGTAACTAATTTGGCGATTTCGCAACCCCTCTTTTCTCTCTAAGTAATGGCGAATTAGAAGTTCAGTTTTCATTTTGGTTAAAACCACGAACTGAAAAAGGTTCTATAACAGGTGTGAAAAAAGAGGTTAAATATACAGCATGTATCATATTCTGAATAACATAACATTATTTGACAGGGTAGAATAGATTGCATGTCTCCTATTTTGAGGAACATAACATTACTTGACAGGGTAAAATAAATAGAATATATCCTATTCTGAGGAACATAACATTATTTGACAGGATAAAATAAATAGCATGTATCCTATTTTGAGGAACATAACATTATTTGACAGGGTAAAATAAACAGCATGTATCCTATTCTGAGGAACATAACATTATTTGAAAGGATAAAATAAACAGCATATATCCTATTCTGAGAAACATAACATTATTTGAAAGGACAAAATAAACAGCATGTATCCTATTCTGAGGAACATAACATTATTTGACTAGGTGAAGCAAGTACCACGTGACCTTCTGACATGCTTATTAAGCAGCTTAGTATTTATTGTTTTTGAAGAACATTTGGTTTAAGATGTAAAACGATATACGATCTATGAGACTATTAGTCAAAACTTTATCTGTTCAAACAACGATATTTTGGGTAAAGCAAGCAACACCTGATCTCTTGAGATGATAATCACAAAACGTAGACCTGCGAGTTTCGCATTACACTTGGACTCGCTCCAGCTATCTTCTAGCTTAGGAGACTAGCCGGATTTCTAAGTCTCTCTGAAATGCGAGACAGGAAAAGATTAAACAGCTAGCTATGTTTCACGGTTCAACGAATACCCTTCCTTTGGGAACAACATATAGGAAATAACACAATACGGACCAGCATTTCGGATAAATTTAGTAATATTTCATCAATCAATCTGGTTTGACAAAGAATGGTCGAAACTGCGCTATTCTCTGTGCTTTAGAAGATCTTTATGATAGAGCAGAGTTTCTATAAATACATTCCAGTAATAAATCGTACGTTTTTATAACTTTACAAGTTCAGCCTCTGAATAACAATATGTATTCTTCCATGTCGTGCCAAAAATCTTCATACCTCAATTTCGGATTTTGGAACACCATGAATGAACTTTCTGATTTTTTATTTTTTTCGTCAATCTTCATGCTTTAGAAAAACTACTTTCAGTACAAAATTTCCTGCGTTAAGTTGTCTTCTTATTAAAGTTTGGAATCTAGCACCAAATTCTTACTCTGATGATACAAATAATCTGCGTTTCAAACAAGTTTAAGCATATTTACGAAAGAAAGAGAGACAATCCCACTTTCCTTTGGTAAAGTGGAGTACAGGATTTGGCGATGGGTGATGCTGACTAGCTGCCTTCCTTCTAGTTTATCACTTTTACATTAGGGACGATTAGCGAAGATAGCCTTCGAGTAGCTTTGCGCAAAATTCAACTAACAAAGAAAACAAAATTACACAGCTCATTTATGATCTGAAAATGAAATGTTAGATTTAGAAAATATTACCTCATAGCAATTCTAGCGAATTTCGAGAAACAATTATC